AATTAAACTAATTCTTTTTTTACTATTAGTCATAATTTCTTCATTATGAACCTTTCGTATCATTCATTCTCATATCTTCTTTTTGTTTCAACTTTATTTTTTCGATAATCATTTAACATATACTAAATCAACTCCATATTTTGCGTTCCTCTTAACTCTAATTGTTATTTGCAAATTAAATAAATCTAAGCTAAATCCCCCATGATTTGAGGAGGACTCCTATTAAGTGAAGTGTGTTGGTTTTCTTATTTTGGAATACCCAAAAGCTTGATATGAAATTACCTGGTTAAAATCGGAAAAGGGAATTACTTAGCTAAAAGCAAAAATAACACTTCAAATTCAATCCACTATGATAATTTAAAACATTTTCTCTTTGAATTTTATGACATCTTATTACATATTGGTAAACTAGCTTGATGGCCAGCGCAACGCACCGGATAATTACGTACAAATTGAGATGAGAAAAAGATTATATATAATTAGTAACTACTAGGGAGTCAGGATGACAAATTAAGTAGTACACAACAACGATCTTCACAAATTAACTGTGTAAATACCAATTTCTCAAGTCCTGTAAACACCGAGGCAAAGTGATTCGAAATAGATTGCACAAATTTTAGGAGAAGCGAAATGTGTATAATGATTCATTAAAGTAATTAGTTATTCTAAAGTTGAGCCAGGCAGATGTAGACACCTCATGTGATCGAGTGAGCTATGTTGTTAACCTCCGTAAGAATCGAATGTTGCTTTCATCATGTCCCAAAGTAGGGCGGAGAAAACACGAGACAGATCATAGGATTCCGATGCCCTCGCGTGAAGATATTGCTAGGCTAGCCCACTAGATGCAGCCAATTATTTAACAGGAAATAGAGGACCCCATATTAAGACCCAAAAAAAAAAAAAACAAAAACAAAAAAAGAAATTTCAACACATAATTTAAGTTGCGATTGATTGATTGATTTTATCCGCCAAATCATCTTTAGATTATAATAGGTTTTGTTAATGATGCTTCTACAGCACTTGTTAATCATATTTTGGGAAATTATTTCATTTTGCAATACATAACTACACAAAACATAAAGGGAAAATGACACAAACAGTCCATGAATTTTGGTCTAATGTGCAATGTAATCCCTGAATTTTCAATTTGTCCAATGTGGTCCCTGAAATTTGACTCACTATGCAATATGATCCCCAAACTTTTAATTTGTTCAATGTGGTGCTTGACCTTTTGGTTCATGCTCAACTTAGTCCATGAGCTATATGAATAATCCATATTCAATTTAGTCCCTAAACTATATGACTACATTGAATATGTACCAAAAGTCCGGGACCACATTGAATAAATTAAAAGTCCATGGACTATATTGCACATTAGGCTAAAATTCAGGGACCATATTGAATAAATTAAAAATTCAAAAATCACATTATATGGTGGGTCAAAGTCCAGAATTTATTTGTGTCATTATCATTTTCTTTTACTAGTTACGCAACAAGTGCTCCGAGCACTAAACCCACTTACAATATTTTTATATTTGTTCAGCCCTAATTCAATTTTTTGTTGTCAAAGAACGAATAGATGATAAAAAGAACCTAATGACTTGCCTTCCTGTCACTGGGCTATCAAAAAGTAGCCGTTGGAAGCTTTTGAAACGTTGAGCCCACTTCGCATCTTCTCTCCCGAACGTTGCAGGTCGCTCTTTAAATTCCCTGCTCTTCTTTGTTTATTACTGAGAAAAGTTCCACTCTCTTCTGGACAGAATCTATCCTGAGAAGTCCTGATCAAGCCACAACCCCTTCTCTCTCTCTCTCTCTCTCTCTCTATATATATATATATATATATATACGCCCTCCTCTGTTTCACACTCGAACCACATCTCTCTCTCTCTCTTACAGTCATTCTCTCAGATCGATTTAGAAGAAGAAGAAGGAGAAGATGGGTTTGGTGGTGGTGATATCGCTGCCGCTGATACTGTTCTGCTTGTTGCTCGGCTTCGGGTGCTACTTCTTCGGAAGAGCCCGGGGGAGGAAAGACGTGCACACCAACCCCCAAGTGTACGGCACCCCGACCCCGCCTCCTGGCACTTACAGTGGTTCGATGCCCCCGCCGCCGCCGTACACCAAGATGCCGCCCTCCGACGAACACGTCTGAACGCTCTGGGCTACTCTGTCCTGGAAAAAGAGCTCATCACGTAGATCTCTCTTCGAAGTGGGGTTGCTTTTCCTTTTCCTGAATTTTTGTATTATATTGAAAGCATTTCCTTATGAAATTCTTTGATGGGTATATATATGGGGCCGTTTGAGATTGAGATGGTGTATGACAAGCAATGATCGTGTCAAGTGAGGGGGCGTGTGTTCGTGGATTTGGATTTGTAATGTGAAAGTATGATACCATGTGAAAACTTCAAAGTTTGGGAATAAAAATATCTGTAGATTTGAATTGGCTGAGTAAATTGAATTCCAGCTTGTGGTCGATTTGATTCATATGTTAATTATCTTGCAATCTTTCTGCAACATCAGAATGTCGTCGTTCAAGGGTGTCTGGTGAAACTAGCGGAATTAGAAAACGAAAAAACGAGGAATCGACCCGACAGAATCAAATCGAAACAACACCAATACTCAGACTAAAATCCAGATTAAGATTCTGCATAGGATCAATTAGGCTGATTCGGTTTCCATCCGGTTCGGACGATCACAAAACTACTGAGGGATTTATGCAATGCACATGAAACCAAATTCAAATATTTTTACGAGTGGCCGACCATATTCTCCTTTATGTATGAAAAGTTAGTGACTCTAAATTTGCCACGCGGATTCCACCCATTCATCTTTCTTCCTTTTGGTTTGGTATGAAACTTGGTATGAAGTCTACATTTGGTTAGTGACTCTAAATTTGGTATGAAGTCTCACGAAGATAAAGAACAAATCTAGGTAAACTTTTGTTAAGTTTTAAGATGAAATTCGATCAGCCTTTCATGGAATTATGGTACCTAAAATCTTGTAGTAGTTAGTACAAATCAAATGAAAACTAAAGAAAAAGTATATAAAGTTTTTTTTGAGTTAAGGATCAGGCACATCTGACAACAAAAAAGCAGATAAAGTATATTTCATCACACGTTACGATTTAGTTGACTCCTAAATTAGTTTTCCTGAAAGCACCAAAGTAAAGCTAAGTCAGCCATTTCGTTCACTGAAGCTTATGCGATCTTGTAACATGTGCTAAATAATCGAAGGCAATTTTGTTGTCCATTTCTAAGATTTTCTTTTTACTTTGGCGAACGACATAGCTGGGAGGTTCTTGCCCTACTAGGGTTTCGGTATGTATAGCTGAATCACATGGAAATATTTGTGGCTTTTCGTCCTATTATGTTCCCTTCATCATCTCTAACTATGAAAGCCCGAAGCTCCTCGCTTCTCCTGTGATGAAAAAGCCCCATCGACATCGATTTCAATTTCTCCAAGCTTTGGTGCTATCTTTCCACCTATCCGATTGTGATGCTGAGTTGTAGTGTCTTCTCAAACGCAACTGTTCTTGGGCCCCTCGTCATAAGCTTATGCATTTGAAGGTGCAGCTTGGGATCGTGGAAATTTCTTCTTTGAGATGATGATGATCAGTATCTGACCGATTAATTATATTTGGAACGAATCTTCTATGCAGTAAAACCCTAGAGACATCATGGAATTTCAATAATTTTCCTGAACAATTTACATAAAACCCAACGTTTATTTTCCTAGAAGAAAAAGACTATTTGATGGCACTTTGATGTATTGTAAAATGATTGGATGAACAACCACGTCGTTCACCGAAAGTACTTCACGATTATAAATTTATTAGGTAGTAAGTAAGGTCTTTGATTTTACCAAATAAGAGCGAGAGAGCAATCTCATTCTTGGTTATGTAAAAAAGTACGCAATTCAGCACCCAATCCATCATGAGTGTTGTAACTTTAGTTATCAATTAAAATATGCTTGAAATCACACCACTGTCTGGATTCATTTTATGTTTATTTCCATTACAAACAATGAAATCACTTAAAGTGTTTTCTAACACATGTAAATGTTTCTCGATGAAAAACAAGGTTTGGTTACTCCGAAAATAAGGGTTTATTTAACATCATTTTCACCGAAAAACACTCGTCATGAATGCCGATTATGCTTTTTGTTCATTTGATTGCTCCATGACACCTTTTACTCATATGTTATATTGTTAATATAAATATCTACTAGTTAGAACCAACAAAAGTAGCACGTTTACTTATTATAAACTTGAAGAAAACACCCCATTTCCTAATTCAAAATAACACCATAAGTATCTGTTGAGACGTAAGAAAATTCAAATTATTTCAGAGGCGAACCGAAGTTTCAAAAGCATTAACAGATTTTATCACATTATATAAGGGGGGATCACTATGAATGGCAATGATAATGGGTTGTCATTAAATTTGCAATTTCATCCATCGCAAAAATTTCAAAGGTGCTAATAATTTTCATCAATTTCATGATAAACAGGAAGAGAATGTAGGTGCTTAAATAGAATAAATAGTCTTTTGGTGTCCAAATTTCCCTCATTGGAATCATCTTTTCTGATTATGAAAAACTACTCTTCTGCTTTTAAAAATCATTCGAATTTTATTTTTGAATTAACTTATTTTATCCAGATTATATTTTTTCCTTTGTAAAAAAAATTATATATAGTTAACGACGTGTAATCAAGCCACCTTAATCATTCAAGAAAGTAGTTTATTTCAACTAAAAAATTGTACAACGGTCTTGCTTAAAAAAATCTGGGCCTATGAAGCCCACAGGTACGACCCTGATCGGCGACGTCCCGAAGAGTCGGGCCGGGCGGCCCGCCGGACCACCCGACCCGTTTATCGGACCGCCCGATCCGACCCGAGACTCGACAGCGACGCCGTTTCGCCGCCCTCGCCGCTCGCGGAGGGAAGGACGAAAGTGGGGGAAGGAAGACACTCGCGCTCGAGCGCACGCAGTCCATCTCTCTCTCTCTCTCTCTGCAACAACAAGCTTTCTCTCTCTAGAACCGTCGGCCGAACGCTTTGCTCGGAGAAGGAGCGAGAGCGAGAGCGAGCGCGAGGGAGGAGGGAGGTGGTGAACGATGGCGTCGTCATCGGGCTCCGGCGAGGCGGCGACGGAGAGGAGGGGGATACCGGGCGCTCAGTTCGTGGAGGACGTCCAGACCTACCTCGCCCAAGCCGGCCTCGACGCCAACTCCGCCCTCGCCTTCCTCCAAGAGCGGTAACTCCCGAATCGCGCCCCTCACTTGCCGGTCGTGCTCGAGGTCGAAATGAATGCCGTTGCGCTCGATCTAGGGCTTTTTTTGCTTCTGCTAGGCCGTGTCTGGGTCGTGTAGCGAGTCTAGCACGCGCGGATCGGTTTTGCGATGCTCTGTGGAAATTGTCCTGAGTAGGCAGCTGGAGATGCTGGCGAAGGGGGAAGATGTCGTTGAAATTTTGGAACTTTTTTTTTTTTTTTGGTCCTTGTGGAGTGGTTGTGGTGATTGGTGGGATGATGATTGCAGGCTGCAGCAATACAAGCTGGTGGAGATGAAGCTTCTGGCTCAGCAGAGGGATCTTCAGGTGTGCTGTCGCGTTTCGCTCCGTTAGTTTTGTTATCAAAATCCCTTTGAAGTGTTCGTGTATCCTTTCTCATCTAGTGATTTTTTTTTTGTATTGATGTATCTGCTGCAACGTTCGGTGTTGAGCTATATTTTTTTGTTCTTCGTTTTCTTCTTTGTACTGTTGAATACCACAGGCCCTATTCCTCCTGTCTGCCCGTGTGCTGCCTCCGACCTTGTTTATTGTTCTTGTCTGTTTTTTTTTTCGTATAGTATAAACCAACGGAGTGTTGAAATGTTGTGCAATGGTTATTGTGGAGGTGGGTGTGCGCGTGCCTAGGAAGCACGGACACTCTCTGGGGGCCTATGTGTCGGTGTCGGACACGTGTTGGACACCGAACTCGGCCGGCACTCTTTTATTTATTATTTATTTATTTGTGGAGTTGAATCAAATTAATTTGATTGAAATAATCATAAAAATGATAATTTATCATGTATATATAAAAATATACTTTTAATATACAACGTGTCGGAATTCTCTATTTTTTGAAAAATGCCGTGTCGGCGTGTCATGTCGTGTTGTGTCACGTGTCGTGTGTGGGTGTCGGTGCTACTTAGGTGCGTGCATATGTTGGTAGACCTTTTTCTACAACTTTCAAGCATTTAAGTGTGCAATTTTTTTTTTGTTGATGCTTAAGAGGTATGAAGACTTGATTAGAGACATTGATACCAAAGCTTCAATCATGATGATGGTTTAATTACAACAAGAAGCTTGTTGGTTCTGAGTTCTTTCCTTGATAATGCATTGTCTATTCAATATCTTACATATTTCATTAATGTAATGGGCATATCCTCAATTATGAAGGTTTCTACACTCACTTGCTGTTTTCTTTCTCATAAATTCTTTATTTAGTTTCTGTTTTTCTAGTTCAAATTTAACCTCTTCTCAAACTCGAGTAAGATTTACTTTTCCCCTATGAGATTGGCTTACTCTTGCAATTACTTTGGTCTAATATAGAATAAAAAGTCAATCCAAAATCCGGGTGAGCACCTCTTTGATGTCTCACAATGAATTTCTCTTTTACATTGACGTGATAGATCTGAGTGCACTTGGTTCTTTTAACACACTATAATCCTTGGTGATCTTGAGCATTTTGTTAGCATTTTAATGTTTACTTTGTTGGCATGATACATTTTTATTTGTCTTTTTACTATTTTATTAATTCAATGTCTATATGTAATGCCAGGCAAAAATTCCTGATATTGAGAAGTGTTTAGACATAGTCGCTACTCTACAGGCCAAGAAGGGTTCTGGTGAGGTTTGTTGTCTCACGCAACTCATACTATTGATTATGTAAACTAGATTTTGGGGGAATTTCGTCTTTCTTTCCACAAGTTGATGGGAAAGTTGTGGTTATTTGCTTTTCTACGACAAGCTGCTTTTCGATGGAGTCCAGTAATTTGGTTGAGGGGTGCCCAATTGATGTTTAAATTTGTGATGAAATTGCGAGGTTTTGAATCTTGAAAATGATTGCAGTTACCACAGAGAAAATTAGATCAAGATGTTCACATACAATTACAATGAAATAGATACTTTCCTTCTAAAATGCTTGCTTGGCCCATTTATGGAAATATAAAAAGGCTGATGCACATCATTATACAGTAATCCTTGTTTATGCTCCCCATGTTAGGAAATTTTCTCATCTAAAGGCAAAAGGAACATGCTCAAGTGTTGCATCTTGCTTGTTATACCTATTTATCTTCTTTATACTTTATCACATAAGATGGATATATCATTGAAAAACGTTGATTTTATCTCCCATAATTGGCGGTCATGCATTGGGGGCTGTCAATTCTTGTCTTGAAGGAGTGGGAATGATCTGCATTTAGGTTCTTTTCAAAAAGGAATCACTTCTGCGGATCTTTCTCTTGTCTTTTGAGAAAGAGAGACAGAGACTGTAGGAAGAGGTATTGTTCTGCTTGTTATTCTAGTTCAGATCCCGGTTAACGGTATAGCAAAAAAGCGACAAAAGGAAGGTGGAGAAATATCTAAGGTCTGTTTGTTTCGCGAAAAATGAATCATCCGGAAAACATTTTTCAAAAAATGATTGTTTGTATCGCTTACAAAAATGAATGAACAAAAATATTTTCATCGTAAACGAAAATGTTTAAACATAAATTGTTATCAGTAATGAAAATAATTTTTATTGACTAATTATTTCAAGCGATACAAGCGAACATTTTTAGGAAAATGTTTTCCAAATCATTCATTTTCTACGAAACAAACGGAGTCTAATCATAAAAAGTGTAAAGCATAATGTGAAGTCTAAGCCATCTTCCCGTAATGCAAGAAGACTCTCTTATTTCCATATCTACTACACTAACAGAAATGTCGAGATTTGGATTGGGTACGATTCAATTCCATGGTCACCACGTCTTCACTGCGACTTTTTCGACAGATCCAAGGAGATATAGTCTGATGGCAACATGTAAGTAGGTGATCTGTGGATTCTCATTGACTTTACTACAGCTAGTATCTGTTTGTATGCATCCTTCTTCTGTTTCGTTTTTTCTTTTTGTATATTGGCTATTTTCATTCACTCCCAAGGCAATCTCTCACGGGGATAACCTGTGGTGCCGAATGGTCCATATGATTTTCATCTTCTATGCAGCTAATACCCCCTCCCCTTCTTTCGATAGAGTCCTTCCCTGTCTCTTTAATACCAGCTATCTTGTGGAAGAGAACTAAAATTTGGCAATCTCATTTTCTTCTGGTTACCAGTCTCTGCATAAGTGGTGACTTCTTCATCCGATACTTTCTGCCATCGACAAAGTTTCCTGCTCATGTGCTGTAATTTCCATATCTCTGCAGTGGGCAAGAATCTGAGAGATTTGTCCTGCCCCATTATTCCTTTTAAAACATCAACTATGAGGTAGCCCGGCATTTCAGCCTCTCTGCCAAGATCCCTCCCTCCCTCCCTCCCTTCTCTCTCTCTGTCTCTCTCTCTCTCTCTCAAACACACACCCAAACACATGTACTACTATGTGCTGCCTCCATCTTTCTTTGCACTGAGGTTTCTCCATCAAATAGGTTACGACCTTTAACCCTCTGAAGGTACATAAACAAAGGTGTGATATCTCTCTCAATATGAAAATCCAGCATTTGAATTGATCAGTCATTTCAAATTGGGGCACCTTGATGCAACGGTTACTTCACCACTCCATTCGACCACAGAGATATCCTCTTGTTGAGGCTCTAGTTTATTCCGTACTTAACTAGGAACCTGCATAATGACTGAAGCAAACTGACTTGATCTGAAAGGGTGCTCTATACCAAAGTGACCCTCCCATTTTTCGCAGTCACCTTTTCAACCTGCAAGTCTGTATTCAGAGAGCGCAACGATTGGATCCCAAAATTTCTTTGGGCACTGAGTGGGAGGCTTAATAGCAAAGTAACCTGTGATTGAGCATGTCATTATGTGTGTGCTTCGATTATATATTTCTATTACCGTAAGATTGAACCATGGCGTCAGTATTGGAATTTAAGATTGAAATTCAAGCTGGACACTTTTCGGTGTATGTATTTTAACTGAGGATGCATAGTGGGTATCTGACAGACTTGCGGTTGACTGTTGAGGCTTTTTTCAAAGTAAACTTGTTATCTCGCAAACAGATCATATTTTTCCAATCCAGAGTTCTTTCCCGTTTTATGCCCTAATGTTCTTCGTATTGTCATGGAACCCACCAATTTTTTCCTTCGCAGTTTCTCTTTTTCATCTGGAATTCTTGACAGTCTTATCAGTCATCGTTCATGTGTGATGTTAACAAAATTTCTCATAATCTTATTATGCTGGAAAATTTGCATGTTCAACAAGCTTCTTGCTCCTCGATGGACTCTTAGCTGATCATATCACTCCTTTTTTCTTTAACAAAGCTTAGAGGATATGCTGGTCTAATTCTTGCCATACTAGGAACTACTTTTGGTGCAGTTGACATGATGTGGAATATTCGATTTCTCTTCTTCTTCTTCTTCAGAAATGCACTTCTGGAAGCAATTTTCCTCATAATTTAGGTTAGGGCTTTGTAGAGCCCATGTTGATCTCAATAAGTGAGAGGTGGTTTTAGATTTGGACACCTGAATATCTCCATTAATATTTAGCTAGTTGCTTTGATGTCCGTAGGTCCTATTAGAAAGCGAACTGGGGTAGGATTACTGTATTGGGCTTTAAAACCTAAGACCATCACAACTTCTATGAGCAAAGGGTAACAGGCACCAAATTGACTGGTTTTTATGGCTCTTTATTTTGGATATAGGCACTCCTTGCTGATTTTGAAGTCTCTGAAGGCATATATTCACGAGCTCGCATTGAAGATACTGATTCAGTATGTTTATGGCTGGGAGCAAATGTTATGTTGGAGTATTCATGTGAAGAGGTCGTACTCGAGTATAAGCAATGTCCCTTCTCTCTCCAGTAATGATGTCGAGTATCTTATTTAGTGCATAAAAACTTGTTGCAGGCCACAGCTCTTCTACAAAAGAACTTAGAAAATGCTAAAGCAAGTTTAGAAGTTCTTGTTGCTGATCTACAATTCTTAAGGGACCAAGTAACAATCACACAGGTACGTCAGAATTATTTGGTAGTTGGAGGTCCATGTTTGTTTCAAGCCGTTTACTGTCAGTTTGGGGTAGGTCAATATGGTTGAACTACTGCTGCTGTATTTTTATTATTGGCTTGAGGCTATAAATTGTGAAGACATGTTAATTTGCAACAGCCTGGAGTATATGGTAATATCGCACAGCTCGTTCTGGGACCATATTCTTTAGTTTATCGTGGCAAGGCCCTTGGAAATTTTCTTCTTTTTTTTGGGGTAAACAGCCCTTGAGAGGTGAATTACTCTTTGGCAGGTTACGATTGCTCGTGTGTACAACTGGGATGTTCACCAAAAGAGAATCCGTCAAGCTGGTGCTCCTGCCAAAGACTCTTAAAGGAATCTTTTCAACTCGAATCATGGTAGCAGAATGTGTACTTCTATATGAGAGTACAAATTTTACAAATTTGATCTCCCATTTTCAACTAGGTGAATGAACTGTGTATTGCTTTGTGATCGTATGGTTAGATTTTGACATCAAGTGATTTTGGTTAGGTTCAGTGAGATTTACTGCATTACAAAAAGCTTTTCATGTAAACGATTTTGATTGAGAACCTCTTGGGCTTGAGTTTTCACTTTTTGTATTTTGAGTTAATATATGGTCCATCTATTTGGTCTCGTTTCACCTTGATTATGTATGTTTAATAAGAACCGATTCACATTTGAATTCGGGGAAAAACATGAACCTGCCTGAGCTCCATGTGAGATACATGTCAGAGAGTGATTTTGAATCAAGTGACTTAGTGCTGTAATTTGGCGGGTCTCTTGTTGTCAGACCTTACCTTATCTTAAACCCTTAAAGGCTCATGGATCTTGGAGATTTCTAGTTTATAAGAGCAATGCCCTGGTATGGTCTGCTTACAGTGTCCATATATGGTGACTGATTGCAAGTGATCAATGAAATAATTGGGCCATATTCAATAGCCCAATATCAGTTAGAACATATTGAAGATCGATCACGAAAGAAGAGACTTGGGAGAGGATTGTTCAACCTTCTGAAATTAGATGACGCCACAGCCACTTGCGGTGAAGTCTACTGGGAGGAGATCAGGAGATCATGATAGTTGTGGAATTGAAGAAAGCTAAATTGCTGTTGAAGGAAGGCATCTTGTACTGTTTATATAGAGTTTTGAGAGATAAATTATCTTTTCTTTTCTTATTGAATTTTGAGATTTTATTAACGATGGATGGGACGATTAAGTAGCTTATTTGCTTCGGCGGTTCCAAGGGCTAAACCCCTTTTGTAATTAGCGTGCTTGGCTTTGTAAGCTTAAGAGGAAAATATCAAGGGAAGAAATAAGAGGATTAATTACACGGAATTCGCTAGGTGATTATAAGGGCATCTACATATCAAATCATCCTTATGCATCTATAGAATTTTGAGAAGTGTCGACTATGGATGAGATGATTTAAGTAGTTTTACCTAGCACAGCAGTTGTACGGGTTAAACCCCTTCTCGAAACTAGCTTACTAGACTGTGTAAGCTCTCTAGCAAGTCTTCTTCAATGAGTGGTCTCCTTGCATTGAGCTCAACTTGATCGCTGTCTTACACTATGTAGAGATAATCACTTACCAAAAACTTAAAATTGAGATGGATTGGTGAGTCATCTTGGAATTTAGTTGATAGATAGATGAAGAAATGTAATATGCAGGCCCCTATAGTTCCCTTAATTGCAGTGGTTTAGAAGCGGCGTAACCTGTATAGTTTTCTCGTGTCATGAAAGCATAGATGGAGAAATGTAACCTATCAGCTTATTACATATTTGATAGGAAACGACTTTGTCTGTTCCTTTCACAAGCTTCTCGATGTTCCTTTGATTGAATTGTGGCTTATGACCCTAAGAATACATAAAATCAAGTTGAGAATTTTTCATTTTTGGACCATTGTGAGAAAACCCTCTTCTATGTTAACAAAAATAATTGTTGTCAGAATGTTGAAATTGTTTTCCCTTCTTGCTGCTCTTAAAATTACTTTCTTGACCAAAGAAAGCCGTCCCGTGTTGAATTACAAGGGAACTTTTATTTGTGAGCAAGCTTTGCAGTTGTGAAATTAGGTCAGAGAATATTGGCATTGGAGAATTGAACATAGAAGTTGTGAATGAATCATATTGATCACCTAAGCCATTCAAAACAAAGAGACCATTTCTTTTGTCCTCAAGGGGACATCCGATAGCAGATAACTCAATGAAATATTTTTGAAAAGCACCAAGATACTCGTGAGGAGATGAAAAAATATCTTTATGACAATTGACAATTCTGGATTTGTAGAAAAATTGAAACTTCACGTTCCTCAAGTACCTTGGCAAAAACATTTTGTAAAGCTAACCACAACTCAACAAGTGTCTTCAAGTCTACTACTTGAGCGAGAACTTCTTCGGAGAGCGTCGCAATGATCCATCCCAGCAGAAGACGATATAACATTCTCCTTTATAAAAACTCTAGATTTATCACTCCTTCTGAGGCTTTAGCTTTTTTCTGGAATCAGAGGGAGTGACTATTGTTGGACTCGGCATCTGGTACTTGCCATCAATGAATCCTAATAGATCTTGACTTTCAAATAGTGCAAGCATCCAAGCTCTCCAGCAAGAGTAGTTTGTTTGTGCCAGTTTTAGTGACACAAAATTGCTAATGTTCAAAGACGAGGAATATGGATACTTAGGACTGGTGGAAGCCATTGTTAAGGATCGATTTCCTTTGAAGATAAGCTCTAATACCATAAAAGAACAAATATGTTTGATTCTTGATCTTATCATACAATTGTTGAGATGATTTCCATTATATAAAGATATTACAAATATTACACTTCGTAAGGAAACAATACAACAATGAAAAATAATAAATAAAGATATCATTATATTACAAGAGTTGTCAATCCCTTGATTCTTGCATTTCTAAGAATCAAATTGTGATTTTGACTGATATCTCCGGATTCTTCTTCATTAATTGATAAATCAATGCATTTATTAACATGTAAAAGACTTGGAAACATGTCCACTCACGACCTTCTTTCAGGGCAACTTAATTACTCTCTTTCCATGTTCACTATCACCTCCTTCACTATATTTGCTTCAACACAAGTGACGCTCAATGATTTCTAGTGCATAAAACAAAGATCATTGTCAAATCACAAGTAATGAACACCACCGTTCTCAAGAAGCTGAACCTCATCCTCTTGTTAACCATCGTGATATCGGCATTTGCCGTGTCTGGCTATTTAGTCCACACCATCAACCAATTGGGCGATGGCAAGGCCCTGAAGGTGCACTGCACCTTCGACCTGTCGACGGACATGGGCGAGCAGACCATCGCGAATGGCGGTTCGTATGAGTGGAAGTTCAGTGAGGACGTGACCCACACTACTCAGTTGTTGTGCGACGCGAGCACGCCCGAGGCTGACGTGCTTCACTTCGCAGCATACGTCCAGCGTAGGGACTCGTGCATCGACGATTGCGATTGGAAGTTCACCAGCGGCGGTGTTTTCCGGTTGGTCGATGGGCAGTGGGAGTTTTACATCTCCTGGCCGAACTAAGACTTTATGTTCCTTTTTTGGAACATAATGATTGTGCTTTTTCTTCTCTAATGGTGGTGATTAATAAATTCGATATTGCTGTTCGAAGTTGCGTGTTACTACTGCCATTTTTTTTTGAAGAATTTCAGATATCTGAACAGTTAGTATTTTGTATGTTTGGGAAATTTTTTTGAAGAATTTCAAATATCATTAGTATCTCAACATATCAGCTCACACTCGATTGGGCCCTCTTGGGCTTGTGCCATTAATTGGACCAACTGAATTTTGGGTGGGCCTAGACCCAATTCTTTTAAGTGGAGTTGGCCTTTGGTTGGGCCAGTGGGCTTTTGGGCCACACGGGGCCAATCTATTTTTTAGAAGGGTTCATTGGTCAGTGTCCCTTTTTGGCCCAACGGTTGGTCTCCATAGAACGGGAAAATTATCAAAACAGTTTTAAACCTATTGTAATTGTGTCAATTCAGTCATAAATCTTTTCCAATTGCGCCATTTCAGTCCATCTAACCAATTTTGGCTGGTCCGGCGGCAAAGGGAAGAAGGAAAGGAAAAAAAAAAGGAAAGAGAAAGGAAAAACAATAAAAAAACTCAAAAGAATAAAAATATTTTAAAAATTGCCACGTCATTGTCAGACGATAAAAATTTGTTGGATGGACTGAAACGGTATAATTATAAAAGGTTTAGGATTGGATTGATAAAAAAAAAAAGATTTAGGACTGAATTGACATACTTGTAAATTTGTAAAAGGTTTATAACCATTTTGGTAATTTTCCCTCCATTGGACCAAGAAAATAAAGTCCCAAGTGCTATATAAACTAGGGGCCCCGTTCTCTGATTCTCACCATTCATCACTCTCTCCCAAGTTCTCATTCTCTTGCAAATTTTCAATTTCTCGCAAATTCCCACTTTCTATATATGATTTACTCCTTCGTTGGAACTCGCAATGGACCCCAATCGCTCCTCAAATGGCGACGAAGAACCTCCAAGCTCGAGGTGGCACTACTTCGAATCCTTCACTGATCTTGGGATGCAGGACACTCCCTATGTGCCTAATTCACCCAAGAAACAGCAAGAAGTGCAAGACTGACGACGAGATGATTCAAAATTAATGTCGCGCAAACCCCTACCCTCTACCTCAAAGATCAATAAACCACAATTAATGTCGCGCAACCTTCGAGGTGAAGATCATCCGTTATTTGGTGAAAATTCAAAATCGGTGGGGCACAATGGTAAGTGTTGGTAAAACTCCTAGTACTTTGATGTTTTCAAAACTATCATTGGTTTTCTATCTACCGGATGATTGCTGATGTTCTTCATGATGAATTGATGATAATTTAAAGAAGAATTGATAATATTGATGGTTTATGTAAAGCTTGGTATTGGGAAACTCATTCTCAATCGACATATTCAAAACAAATTCGATCAATGTGGAAAACGTGCCCAATAACCATTAACTTGTATTACCGATCGTACAGGCATATCACATAATGAACATACCCGGTATTGCCACAGATTAAATGCCACTTTGCACTTGAGAGTGATCTTCGATCGTCTTTTTTACCCACTTGCGCTCCGAAGGAAAAATAGAAAAGACGTTACTTTCGAAGGGGTATGTTATTTTGCATATGAAAAATCACGTTCGTTTTCCAAGGGGGGTCTACTATTTATAGTAAAAGGCAAATAACCACCTTGCTAGCCTTTGTGGTTCATGGGTCGGGTTTGGCCCATCTTGGGCGATCCACCCATTATGCCTTTCACTCGGTGAAGGATGCCCACAAATATGTAGGCTATGACAAGAGGAGAACAAGTCAGATATGACGAGTGGTTCATATGCACTTGGAGAGACCAAGATTAGGTGATCATCAAGGTAAAGCCTTTGGATATAGGTATGCTCAGGAAGACCATTGGATAATAAATCACAAGTCGTTCCGAGAAGATTACGATTGACAGCATCAACGTAATATTAAAAGGGCGTGTGCTACTATCAAGTGATGAGGAGCAATGAATCGTGCGTATACTAATTCCTAGAAGGTGTCGTTCAACAATCGGGCAGTTTTGGTCTGTGTGTCAGACTGAATAGTTGATGGAACAATAGAGCAAATTCCATTTTGAGAAACCTTGCTTTTGTTTCTAGGAGCAAACAGAATGGGCCGCCTAAACGTTGGCATTTGCGACAACTAACTCCCAACGGCTCTTTCGCTCTTCAGAAGCATCTCCAACGGTTGGATTGGAGGGTGAACGCCTATATAAAGAGGATCAAAGCAGTTGGAAGTGGTGGCAGCGGTGGCTATTGAACCCTGAATTCCGGTGAAGAATGGCCGAGGATGGAGGAAGCCGCCGGTTGGACACCAAGAGGAGAGGACACCGCTGAGCAAGGCCGAAAGGGAGCCTAGAGAGTCTCACGATTTGAGAGCTCTTGAATGAGTTGTGTCTCCATTATGACCGGCCATAGAGGGTTTATGTAATTGGATTAGCGCTAGAAGTGGACAGGATAGCTCACAATCGGATGAACAGAGTGATTAAAATGAGTTCAAAATGGACAGCTTAGATGGAGTGAGGAGGGATTAGGTGGCCAGCCATTCAAAGGAGTGACAAGGGTTCGAACGGATCCAAGGGTGAGGATAGATGAAGAGGGGGTGGTCAACCGTTGGATTAAGCGACAAGCGTTTGACGAGATGACAACAATTGACACCAGTTTGGAATTACTGCTTAACTTACTGTTCGGACCCTAAAATTTCAACAATCTTGTAAAGCATGTTCCATGGCTCATCGAACTAAATTTGAGCACCCAACACGTCAAATCCTAGGCTTGCCTTACCTCTTGAACTCGGTTCGAGCTCTAAAAACGTTGGAAATTTAAGTTCGAGCTCACTTCCTATGCTTGAACTCCAAGAATCTTGGAAACGCCATTTTAAGCAGATTTCTTCGTTATGATTGCCCATTTGAGCTCACTTTTTTCATGGCAAGTTGGATTTCGAAGTTCTATCTCATGCCAGGCCACTTCTCGAGGTCACCTCTAGTTCCCTGTATATGTACTAGTCCTAAAATGTAATAAAAATGCAAATGTAAATCTAATGCGAATTATGCAACATTGATTTTTTTGTGTAAAGTTCGAATTTGATCCCTAATTTCTCGTTAAATGAATGACTAATCCATAAGCCAAAATTAGGTGTCGACAATTGGGAATGGATCGGATGTCCATTGTTCAGACAATGGGCGTCCAGCCCACTTTTGGTCTGTTGGAGACTCTCCAGGTCGGTCCTCGATGGTCCCTTTGGTATGTGATCGCTCTAGAATTGTAGAGGGTCCGCTTCGGGTCCCTATTTTAGCTCGGGGATAGGCTGGATGTCTACTGTCCAGGCCGTCTTCGGTCTGAACAGTGAGCGTCCAGCCCACTCATGGTCGGTTTCCGTGTCACCGAACCGGTACTCGGGCAATCCCCCATTGTTTATTTATCCGTTTTAGCATCACATAAAATATAGTCACACATATAGGAGTCACTTTTAATGAAATTCCAGCATTCATTGCATTCTCATATACATGAGTTTGCATTCATGTGTCTTTTTTGCAGAAAAGTAAAAACAGAGATGTCGACTAGGTATCGATTTCATTCATAACGTCTTCCGGCTCAAAGTAATTTAGATGTGTTGTTGAAGCCAAACAATTTAATAATAAAATAGACAGAATAAAAAAAATTAATTTGACACGAAGTTTACGTGATTTGGTGTCGTAGTGACCTACGTCCATAGGGAGAGCAGCAATATATTTCATTATAGACTAAGTGATACAACGGAGATTATAACCACACTCAAGTTACTCAAACACTTTCGGTATTTTCCAAATCCCAGTTACACTCAATAACTTACGCAGTATTTAGCTCCATAATTTCTCACGAAATAATCTCTCAATCTTCTGAAGGAATCATACACAAATCTTATCACAAGATTTTCATAGCTTGAACATCGACTCCACGAATGTAATTCACAAGTTCCCTCTTACCTTCTTGGCACACCAAGCACTCAGGCCCAAAGCGGCGCTTCAAGTCTCCTTCAAGAAAAGAACATCCCCTGACTTGTCTCACGTGTATATCTATAGTAGCCAATATAAAGCCATTCGTCAAGACCCACTAAAAATCGACCACAAAAAGAAAAAGTCCCACTAAAAATTTGTGTTTTTTCCTTTTCTGTTACCATCATGAATTAGACTTCGCCGAATGTGGAAACATGATTTCCATGTATTTTCCTTCAATGACACATGTTGACCGAGTCCAACCTGAAGAAGGAAAGAAAGATGCTCTTGATCGCCATATCAATACGGAAACAATTTCTGCGTTATGTATTGCTCGACTTTGGACGTACGTTCGCAAAATATCCAATTCGGAATATATAGATATCCACCAATAATAATTAATCTTGAGTCGAGTTTCGTTTATCGGGCTCAAAATCTAGACATATTTTAACAAGATGTCATCTCTTTTTGATTACGTGTTTATTATATTCCAGCATTTAAGTTTATTTTTATTTTTTTTATATATATTAAGATAATCTCGTCGTATTAATATATAAAAACAGTATAAAAAGAAGCACTTTGATTATGTTTAGGGCTTTTTCGCAGTACATTATAGGATGAGATTAATTTTTGTTATTGCTAGTTTCGTCATATTGCATTTAGAATTTATTTCTCATCACATAGATTAGGAAATTTTCATTTATTAGACTAGTGCATTTTTATATTAATTTTTATTATGCTCACATGGTCCTGTCCTAGGGGTTTATAAAAGGGCGTTTTGTTATTTTGTCCGATAAGGCTTGGGTTGCTTTTTAATGCTCTTTCTTTATCTTTGGCTTCATCATCGATTGTTTAAATTTATTGTAAAAAGAGTATTTATGCATGATAATAGAGATTTACATGTTTAAGAAATGAAAAAACGAAAAGACATTGAATGAAATAATATTTTATTAAAAGAGAAAAGGTATTGGTGATGGGAATTAGACAAAACCCACGTC